CTGTGCCCGAGACCCAGTCAGATCCTACAGTTTGTGACAGTACCAGAGTGGAATGTGATTGAATGCGTTCATGAGTTTGACCAGTCCTGGAGCAGGTGCATTAGTGCCTGGGCTCACCACTCAGCCCCTGGTGACCTTCCCACAGCAACACTACAAATGTCAAATCTCTTGTCGCAGAAACATTGCAAATTACTATTTATTGGGCCATTGAGCCTTGGGGTTTCTTCCAAACTCAAGAAAGCAAAGGCTCCACCCAATTTGTACCCTATGCCTACTAAACTATTCATTCCTTTCCCTGATTTTAACAATGAAATCTATAACTGTTCATGAGCTCTTCAGTCAGTAGAACAGAACTGGTATTCTTTGAAGAGCTAATAAGACAGTTGATGGCATAAACACTGTTAGACTTTGCAAAATCTTGAAAAAAGCTATAAGGCGACTCCTTCCCACCTCCCCCCTTACTCTGAGGCAGGGGAGGGAGCGCAGGGGGAGCTGAGCTTGGGACTAATAAGACAGGGAACACAGTTACTTTTGAGTCGGAAGGAATCATGCACTGGACTGGCTGCCAACACCAAATAAATACCTCCCTCCCAAGGACCTGGGGCTTGAAGAACAAACACACACCCTCATGTATAAAGGGCCTGTAAATAGGGTCCTTTCTCCAACCTGCTGCCCAGCCCTCCCCTTCTTATCAGGCGGAATAGTGAGAGGGAAACTGCGGCTCTTAATCCAGCCCGGTACTCAACTTTTTTTTTTTAATTGATTTTAGAGAGGAAAGGAGAGAGACATCAATGTGAGAGAAACGGTGATCGGACCAGGGATTGAACCTGCAAGCTGGGTATGTGCCCTGACCAGGAATCAAACCCACCACCTTTTGGTGTATGGGACGACACTCCAGCTCACTGAGCCACACCGAACAGAGCGCAGGGTGCTCAAATTTGCCCACTCTTTTCCATGTCAAGTTCTTTAGGTCAGTAACTTCTCTTACCCTCATTCCATGGTAAATGTTACTTTACCTTTTTCAGGGTTTTGATTATTCTCTATCCTGGAGCCTCTGAAGCCCAACTGCACATTTGCCAGGAGTCACCAGCGTAGCTCCACACTTTTCTCTGCCTCCCAATGTGCCAACCCAGAAATGGCCCAGCGCTGCTGCCCCTGGCTGGTGAGGCCTGTGGTGAAACAGGCAGCACCGGTGGTGGAGTTAGGCTGCTGTTGGATACAGTCACAAAGGCGACAGGCAGCAGGCCAGCGCGTGCTTTTCCATAGCACTAGCACAGCACAGATGCCTCCTCACGGCCTGCTGGCTCGCAGTGTGTCCGGACTCCACACCCATGTCAGTGGGATTGTGTCAGGTGAAGGGAGGGGAGACCCCATACCAGGATCCAGGGGCTGTGAAACCTTGGCCTCAGAGAAAAGGTTTACAGAATGGCACAGAGGCCTTAGTGGGGCCATGTAGCTTCCGGGGCCACGTGGCTTCCGGGCCCACTCGACTTCTTCCACCTCTCAGGGAAGAAGGTCAGGCAACAAGAACAGAGCGTGGGCCATGGGACGACCACAGTTCTCACAGGCCATGGCCAGGAAAAAGCCTTAAAGGTGAGCCAAAGATGAAGGATTGGTGATTCTTTCCGAGGCCGGCTTGGGAGGCCGGCAGCACCCCAGGTGGGAAGAGTCGGGGCATGCCTGGCCCCAAAAGACCCTCTGGAACAGCCACTGCAGGAAGCCACAAGGGTCCATAGGCAGCTGGCTCCTAAATCAGAGAGGCCAGATGATGAAGCATGGCAGGGGCTGTACTTGAGGGCAGCTGGCTGGGTTGAAACTTGCCTGCAGGGTCCAGGCCACCTAAGGCAGAAAGCAAGCAGAGGAGGGGCAGAGATGGCAGGAGAGAACCACCCCCAGACTCTCACCACCCACATTCCTCCTCCAAGCACTGTCCTCCTGTAAATGCCTCACATTCCAAAATACCTTGTCTGTTGAGGATCCAGTCCTTTGGTGCCAGCCTCTCCCCGGAGAGCCTCCACGCACCAGGAGAATAATGCATTCGTTCCTTATTGCTACCATAAACAAATCACCACAAACCTAGTGGCTTACAACACAAATGTGTAACTTCACAATTCTGGAGGTCAAGGGCTGGTATGGGTTCCACAGGACAAAAATAACGTATCTGCTGGCTGCATTCCTTTCTGGAGGCTCTGAAGGAGAATCTACTTCCTACTCATGCAAGCTATTGGCAGAATTCAGTTGCTTGCAGCTGTGGGACTGAGGTCCCCATGCTCTTGCTGGCTCTAAACTGAGAGCTGTTCCTGGTTTCTAGAAGTCACTGCATTCCTTGGCTCCAGGCTCACTTGCCCCATCTTCAAAGCCAGCACAGGCAAGCAGACAGGCGGGCATCTCTGAGATGACCGTTATCTGCCTTCCTCGTCCATCGTCCACCAAAAGGACTCGTGATTAAACTGGGCCCATCGGATCATCTTCCATTTCCACATGCTTAACTTGAATCACATCTGCAAAGTCCCCTTTGCCAGGTAAAGTAACTTATTCACAGACTCCAGGGATCAGGGCATGGACATCATTGGGAAGACATAGTTCTGCTGGCCACACCACCTTAATTTAAAATCATGAAAACTGCCCTGGCCGGTTTGGTTCAGCGGTTAGAGCATCGGCCCACGGACCGGAGAGTCCTGGGTTCGGTTCCTACTAAGGGCTTGTACCTAGGTTGCAGTTTGTCCCCAGCCCTGGAGGGGGTTGTGTGGGTGGCAGCCAGATGATGTTTCTCTCTCTTACCCCCTCCATCCCTCCTGTTGTGTCTGAAGATAAATGCAAAAAAATGTCCTCGGGTGAGGATTTTTTAAAAATCATGAAAACTGAGGCTCAATGACTTCCCCAGTCATATAGCAAATGGCTATGCCAGGCCTCAAACCCAGGCCTGAGTCCCAGTCCACTGTTCTTGACATTATAGTATATGCCATGACAGCAGCCTCCCCCCACCCAGCATATACACCATGGCAGACACCCAGTCCTCCAAACTCAGGGTCTAACAGACACCCTCAGACACAGAAAATGCTGGTTGGGAGTACAGGAGCCTTATTTTCTCGAGGGAATGGCCCCAGCACCCAATTTGGTTGGGGATGAGGGACAATGAAAGGTGACCAGGTTTCAGGCCTAGTTGCTACACTAAGAACCAAAAAAAGAATGGGGCTCAAGCTTGACAGATTACTTGAACCCTAAACTCTTCCATCCACCCCAAGTGTATGACCCTGTCCATGTGCACATATTCTGTGGTCCCAGCAGGTGGTGGGAGAGCAAGGGCTGGAGGAGCTGTTCGGCTTGGTAAGGACTTTCTCAGACCAGGGTTCTGAAGGACTTGGCTTCCCATCAACTCGAGCAATGCTTGAGATGTACAGCTTTGGCCTAGGAAGACTACCTAGGACAGGAGGACCACTGTCCCTTTGGGTTCCAGGGGCACAAAAATGGGGGACACCCAATCAAAACCCTTGGCAGGACAGTGGTTATGGTAATAGAAACTTAAGACACCTCTCCTCTCCTGGGTCCCATTCTTGCTACGTGGCAGCCCCGTGGCCTAATCTGTGTCCACAGCAACCTGAGCTAGCAGCTTGGAGCTCTGCTCGAGATGTGTTGACAGGAAAGCCTCCCAGTGAGGCAGGGGACGGGGTGACCCAGTTGTTTGGGAGGTAATAGCCATGAGGCCCCTCCTCCCAAAGACAAGAGAGCTGTTGAGGTACCTGCATGTGATAGGTGGATGCCCTTCCCGCAGCACCCCAGCCAGGCTTAGGTCAGCTTTTCAGATCGGGCTCTCCCCCTCCCCTGGCCAAATCCCAACCTGTGAACAGCTCCCAATATTCACAGCCCTGCCTCTTCAGGCCCGGACACACAAAGGCTGGCTTGTGTGGAAAGAAACAAGCCTTTGAGGAGGCAGGCAACTGACTCCCCACCCCTCAGGGAAGCAGCCATGGGCAGAAGCTGAACTTGCCACAGTATCCAGGCACTGGGTCCCACAGGCATACTGGACTCCACACAAAAAGGCCGGGAAAGATTAGACAGAGAGGGAGAACAGGGTCCACTGTGAGCTTCTGTCAACGTAAATCAGGAGACAAGAGCCCTGCAGAAGAGAGTTTGGGAGATGTGCGTTCTGATACCCAGGGCCTAAAGCCAACACACCCTAGCACTCACCTGGCAGCTTTGCCCTCCATCCTGGCCCCAAGAGTTCAGCTCCGCGGGGACACTGAACCTGGGTCTGGTCGGAAATCACCCATGTCACTCCAACAAAGACTGCAAAGGAGAGCTAAAGCTGTTCTCCAGGGGTGGGGACAGCAGGTCTGAGGGTTCCTTCCACACACTGGAAGTCAGGATTCCAGCTCAGTGTGAAGCACTTCCCAGCTAAGGTGACCCCCTCAAGCCCCCCAGGAAGGGCCCTAAAGATGAAGGAGCTACAAATTCCCCAGACTAAGAAGGGAGAGGGACAGAGAAGCAGCAGGGAAAACATGAGAGCCAGTCACTCCACAAGCATTAACAGCTATAGTGACAAAAGGTACAGGGCCCTGGAGTTGACGTTAAAAAGCAAGACACTGTAAAGTGCCCCACCCTCCAACTAGGAAGGGCAGCAACACCTGAGAAGTGGTTGGAGCCCAACGACTGAGGACAGGGAAGGCTGGCCCCAACAGGAGAGACAGACATAACACACACTGCCTCGAGCTTGGCACAACCAAGGGTGCTAGAAAAGGTGAGCACAAAAGGCTGTCGAGCGACAACAGGTTTTGTTTTCCCAAGTAGCCGAAAAACATTTCACCACATGAAAGCATGCAAAGGAAAAGAGCGCTCCCCTACAGCAGGGAGAATGGCCAAGCACACGTGACCTACTGGACAGCCAGACAGCGGGCACATGAGGCCAGCCAGGCCCTCTTCTTCCCACCCCCACCCAACACCAACCTCAGCTCAAGTATGGAGGCAGAAGCCCAGGTCAAAGGCATGATGAGTTTCTGAAGCAAGTTTTAAATAGTCTTTATTGTTACAAAGTGGGTCCTACCAAGCAGGGCCTTATAAACCAAAATATGTGGTCCCAGGATATCACAATGAAGAAATCAAGAGGTTATGGTTGCAGAAGAGGTCACTGTAACTGAAGGATATGATCCAGGGGAGGCCGGCCAGGAATGCAGCAGACATGATCAGGACAGGTGGGGGGGTGGTCAGGTCACAGGGTGAGGGAGGGGACAGCCCCCTTCACTCCCGCTTCTTGTAGCTCTCCAGGTGAGACAAGACCCAGCCCGCCGGCAGGAGGATACACAGGAAGCAGGAGGTGAGCCCAATGGCGATGTCCTACACAGAGTACGAGAAAGAAGGAAGCCCCAGAGTAAGGAATCCCCCAGGCTTCTGGCTGTCTGAGCAGCTTTCCCAGGCAGCCAAAAGCCCCTCACGGAGTGAAGACTCAGGCTGCAGAGGAGGAACACAGCAGATCCAAGGCCCACTGTAGGCCTTGAGGTAAAGGGTCGAAGATGGAAGCGGGGGCCAGCCTGGATTACAACCCATGGAGAAATCCACCATCAGCTGATAAAGTGAAGGGCCAGCAACAAGGATTTAAACTTGTTTATAGCTGGTCTGTTGGGACCCAGGAACCTTGCACGGGCCGATACCTGTAAAAATGCACCTCCCCTTCCTTGCTATAAAAACCCCTCTCTTCCCATCTCCTTTCCAGGACTGCTACACAACTTTTGGGGTTAGGGATAAAAGACTTTCTACAACCATTTCCATATTCCTTGTAGTTAAGATCACAGCAAAACTTGGGGTCTCACGTGAGTTCAAATTCCTTCTATGCCAGTGAAGGGGGTGACTTTTGACCAGTCAGTACACTGCTCCTCAACCATGAAATGGAGGTAATAGCTTTCGTCTCGGGGTCACTGGGAGGACTGAACGAGACCAGCACAGCAGTCTGAGCACAGTGCCTGGCACCCCAGCAGGCTCTCAGGACGTCAGCTGCGATGATCTTCACTGTCATCTCAATCGCAGGACCTCCGGCTCTGCTCTCACCACCCTCCAGGTCCCTGGATTCTGAAGCCCTGCGTTCAAGGCCGGTTCTGCCCGAGGCAATGAATGTGTAACTGCGCCACAGGAGCACGTTGCCTCTCAGGGTTAAACCCTGCCACACTTCTGGGAATTACCAACACCTACCGGGGTCCTCTTGTCCTCCCCTTCCCTAGAAATGAATAGCGGTAGCGTGTACAGTCGTCAGACACCCCAGTGAACCGACTGACAGGCTGTGACCCGAGATCCTAGGGCTGACCGAACCACTGCGGCCCGGGCACTGCCCCTGCGCCCTCCAGACACGCCCAAAGCAGCACCGCGGCCCCCCCAAGCTGCGAGCCGCGAGGTGCAGTGCGCGGCCGGGCCGCCCCGAACCCGTCGCGGGACCGGGGCGCCCGCTCCTCACCATGGTGCCGAGCTGCTCCCGCGGGGGCTTGGAATGGATCTGGGCACGCGGCACCAAGAGCCGCCGGGCCGGGCCGGCTAGGGCCCTGAGCAGGTGCGGCGTCAGCGCAGACATGACCGCTCGGAACGGACTGCGGACAGCAGACAGCCGGAGCCCAAGGTCGGGAAGTCAGAATGGCGCCGGCCGGAACTTCCGGAGCTAGGGAGGCCGGGAAAGACCCCGGAAGTGACGAAAGGCCGCACCTCCCTCCCGCCCTGGTCAGTTTCGGGCGCGTTCCTCGAAACAGCCAATCGACGCCATCCTACCACCGGTGGGCGGGGCACAGGGGTGTCCCATGAGCTATGCTCCGCCTCCTGAGTGGCCTCTTCCTGAGTGATACCTGTGGTCACGCTATCACGTAAGTCAGAAGCCTAGGTGGCGCTGTTTTTCTTTTTTAAGATTTTTATTTTATTGACTGACATTTTTAGAGAGGAAGAGAGAGAGAGAAACATCGGTGTGGGAGCGAACATCCATCCGCTGCCTCCTGCACTCCCCCTACCGGGGATCGAGCCTGCAGCCTGGGCATGTGGCCGCGAATCCAACCACCTCTGGGTGCACAGGACTCCCACCTCCTGAGCCGCGGGCCAGGCCTAGGCGGCGCTTGACTCCTCCCTCCATGCACACAGTACTCACCTCTCTCCAGAAATCCCCCTCTTCGCCAAGCCCAGTGTTTCTGGCCGGGGCGACTGACAGGAGGTCCTACCTGGACTCACTCTCCTCATTTGCTATTATCCTCTCTAATTCCTGTCTGTGGCAACCAACCTTCCTGCCTCCCTCCCTTCCTTTGTTTTCAAGATAAATCTAACCAAATTGTACACCTACTTTCAGTGGTTCCCACTGCTTACTAGACAAAGTCCCAATTTCTTTATGTCACTCTTCAGCCTCATCTCTAAATATTCCACACCTCCCTCCTTGCTCACTGGTCCTCCCCCTCCCACTCCACCCCGCCCTGCCCTGCCCCAAGCCTTTTGCTTCTTTGTAACTTCTTTGTATCTACCTAGAACACTTTTCAACTTTTTTTTTTTTTTTTTTTGGTACTTGCCCCTAGCGGGAACTGAACCGGGACTCTCTGGTCCGCAGGCCAACGCTCCAACTGCTGAGCCAAACCAGCCAGGGCCACTTTTCAACTCTTGCCTAGCTTCCTTTTTCACTACTCTTAACTCCTACTTCCAGGCCTCCACTTACTGATACAGCTTACTTTATTCAAGAAATCTTTACTGGCCCCTGCCGTGTTCCAGGAACTGTTCTGGATCTGTGGTGACCAAGGACTCCCTTATCACAGAGCTGACATTCTGGAGGGGAGAGACAATAAACAAGCACTTAGTGAGAAGCTATTGGGAGTGCCATGGTGTGATGGGAAGTAATGGGGTGGCACTTTGTCAGTTAGCCTTCACTGGCCACCCCAGCCCCTGTGATACCATATCCATAGGGTCGGTCTCCATCTGTACACTTGGGGCCACCTGAGGGCAAAGCCTGTGTCTGATTAGCCACCGTCTCCAAAGGGCCTGGCACACATCAGACACTCAGACATTTATGAATTGCAGGACACTGAACAGTAGGTATAGGGCAAACAGGAAAGGGGTGAGGAGCCAGCCACTGAGCCAGGTCTTACCTGTATAGTCTCATTCCACCTTCATCTTTAAAGTTATGAGGGAGATGCTATTTTTGTTGTTGTTAATCCTTATCTGAGGGTATTTTTCCATTGATATTTAGAGAGAGTGGAAGGGAGAGAGAGAGAGAAACATCAATGTGACAGAGACACATTGATTGGTTGCTTCCCACTGGACCTCGACCTAGGCCAGGGATCGAACCTGTGACCCAAGTATGTGCCCTTGACCAGGAAGCGAACCCAAGACCATTTGGCCCTCAGGGCAACACTCAATCCACTGAGCCACACCAGCCAGGCTCAAATTTTTTTACAAAGGAGGAAAAAGCCTGGAGAACTGGGTGACCTGCCAAAGGTCATGCAGCTACAGGGCTGCCTAGATGGGATTCCCAGGCAGGTCTATCTGCTCCAAACCCCATGCTTTTAACCATCACACAAGCTGCTCTGGAGAAGAATTTCCAGAAGTTCCAGTTTTGATATTGTGGGCAATAGGATCAAAGGCTGTGGCAGGGGGTGGGGTGAGGTGCCATGGTGAGGGACTGGGAACACAAGAACTTTGGAGAAAACTCAGCCCCATGGGTGTGGGGAGGGGGGCTCACAGAAAGGAGGCAATGGACCCAGAGTGAATGCCCCAAGGGGAGGGCTGTGCTGAGCTTCCTCTGGAGGAATGGGCTTCCCAGCCCTAAACTACCCAGGGCCCGCCTTCAACCCTCCCCCAGGTTCCCCATCTCCCCCACCACACTCATGGGTATTTGTAAAGTCCAGCTCTCTCAGCCCTGCCTCCCCACCCCCCACCCGCTATCTGGGCTCCCTGCTCTCACCCTGCCTGGGGCTCTGGCAAATAGCCCAGGACAGATGCTTCTAAATCTGCCTTCTTCATCTCAAAGGCCACAGCCTAGGGGCTCAGGGCTGGGAGGCTCAGGCCCCACCTGCCTGCCTCCAGGTGAAGGGACAGGGACCTCCCTACTTCCCTACTGGGCTTTGTCAAGCCTTTGTCCTATGAACAAAGTAATAATGCCCAGATTAGAGCACAGCCAAGTAAGGCCTTTCTGTGGTTCCCTGGGATACTCCCTGGAGAAAGCCACGTTCATCTCCTTCACCAGAGGCTGGAAGAAGGGAGTGAACGTTTCTGGAGGAGGCATATAGGTGCTCTGTCCCAGGGCTTTGTCATGACCCTGAGCTGTGGCTTCTCTCAGAGACCCCATCAGAGAGGAGGAAAGAGGCTGGCAGAGGTTAAGTATCACGGTTGAGGCTATAACTGCCAGGGCAGGGTTTGAACCTAGATCTGTGGAATTAATACTACCGTCTCTGCTCTGCCCCGAGTCCTCCAGCAGCCCACGCCTCCCAAAAAGCAGGGACAGGCCTTTAATAAGACAGTAGGGCACCTTGTGGTGTTTTAAAAAAAAAACTGATCTCCAAGACCATCTGCAAAGGAGGACCCAGAAATCTGTTTTTTGGTTTGTTTGTTTACATTTTTCCCTTTATTGATTTTAGAGAGAGAGGAAGGGAGAGGAAGAGATAGAAACATTGATGAGAGAACATTAATTGGCTGCCTCCTGCATGCCCCCCACTGGGGATTTGGCTCACAACCTGGGCATGTGCCCTGACCCGGAATCAAACTGGCGACCTCTTGGTGCATGGGTCAATGCTCAATCACTGATCCACACCGGCTGGGCAGAAATATGTATTTTTTAAAAGATTTTTAAATTGATTTTTAGAGAGAAAGGAAGGGAGATAGGGAGAGAGAGAAAAACATTGACATGAAAGCACATCAATCGTCTGCCTCCTGTGCGTGCCCCAGCTGGGGATTGAGCCTCCACCTGGGCACAAATCGAATCAGCATTGGTGCACAGGATGCTGCCCAACCGAGCCACACTGGCCAGGACACCCTGTGGTGTTTTATGCAACCAAACTGTCTGGCCATGGAAACGAATAAATGATAGCTCCTGCAAGAATGTTTTCCACAGGCGATGTTGAGTAGAAGAGGCCAGACATGTAAGAGCAGACTGTACATCCTATTTACATAAAGGGCAGCAGGACTGGGGTGGGGTGTGACAGGTAGTAGGGATCCTGGAGGGAGTGGGAAGGCACAGGGACTGGGAGAGGCCTGATGGGGCATCTGGGTGCTGGTTATGGTTACGTGAATGTGTTCACTCAGAGGTAATTCCATCAAGAGTGGCTGGACATTCACAACTTTCTGTGTGCCTGCTACACCAGTTTAAAAAGTTTTAGAACAGATAAGAGAAAACAAGGGAAACAATGTGTGATATGATCTTGTTTTTCTAAAACAAAAAACAAAACCTAGAGAAATAAATGTGCATAGATTAAAGACTGGAAGGACACATAAACCGAACAGTGGCGTTGTCTAGATGGTGGTGGGAAAATTGGAGGTCGTTTTCCCTGCGTTTTCCGAGCTTGCACAGGGGCACTTTTAGCACACTAGAGTACGCAGTGAGAAGAGCGGAGTTCACTGGTCCAGTGAGGGCAGCTGCCCCACGGGTGACAGACTCCCTGGGAGGAGGGACCTTGAACAGGCTTCCGCGGGGCAGGGATCTTCTCTAACACCCTGACAGCCGGTCTGCTCACCCTCCCAGCCCACACTGCCCACCATGCTTTGATCGCTGGGAGTCTCTCCCTGCACCAGGGGGAGGCCTAGAGGTCCCAGCCTGGTTCCCGATGATTCTGACCCAAAGGCCCAAGCTGTCCCCAACCCTCCCCTCCCTGACCGGGGCAGTGGGTATGGTAGGGGAACCGGTCCCTACTCCTGAGACCAGCTTCACCATCCAGGCACCCAGGCCATGATGGTCACTATGGACTGGGAAGATCCCAGGTGCCCCCTCCCAGAGCTGGCCCCCAGAACCACTGGCCATACTTGGGTGCCCTCCTAACTCAGGCCTGGCACTGTCTATTTAAGGCTCCGGCGAAACAACTGCTCTGTCCAAATATGGAGCTTGTGAGTCCTGGGGAGGGGCCAAAGCCCCATGCTGTGGGGCCAGCAAGTAGAAATCCTCAGTATGCCCCCCCCACACACATTTTCTGGTTTGCACCTCCCAGAGCATCTGACACAGAGCTGGTACGAACCTGAGCTAGGGGTCTCCAGTTTCCCCACCTGGCCTAGACTCCCTTGGCACATCATGTGGGTGCCAAGCACTGAGCCCTGGGGCTGGCCATGGGAAAGGTTGCAGGGTGAAGGAGCCCACCTAGGACTCTCTTTAGGCCTTGGGGTGGGGGGCTGTCTTCCTTGGCTGTGAGTAGCAGCTGGAGCCCTAGTAGAGTCTCAGGAAGGGCCCAGTGTCCAAAGGAGGGTTCAAGAGGGGTGGGGTGGGGTGGGGAAGGGGGGTGAGGGTTGGCTGCAGGTCCAATACTGGTTTCCTGGGTTACCTCCCCTTCCTCACCTGGGCCTTAGCTCCAACATCTGCAAATGGGGAAATTTCCGCCAAGTTCGGCAAGAGGAAGGGACAGGAGGGGCTGAGCTCGCTGGAAGAGAAGGGCAGGTTTGGGAAACTGAGCTGGCACTGGTCTGGGATGTCCCCGACAGG